TTCTCTCTGTACATGCCAAAAACAGTGACAAAACACAACTTGGTGTCCTCTGATAACCTTTGCTTCATAAAGGATTTGCAGCAATTTTCTTTCTCTGCATTAAATGGCTGTGGCAAAGCTAAATCTCTGCTTTAAACACAGTTGCTGTTATCGCTGGCATGTTTTGTGAGTGATTTCATAGAACAGTGTAGTACACTGTAAGTCTAATTAAACCATGCTTGTTTTCCCCAAATTGTTGATTTCTGAATATGCAATTTGTGATGACTTTAATCAGTTGAGTAGACTGGTCTCCGGAGGGCGATCGCTCCAGTGTTCGTAATCACTGTAGCGTAGTTCATTAAGAACTATTGCAGAGTTCCCCTGGGAACGATTTACAAACCATTATCTGCTTGCTCCAAGGTAAGGCTGAGGACAGATGTCAAGGAGTCAGGAGCAAAAGTGGGGGATTTCAGTGAAGTGCTCCTGCGTGCTTGGCAATTCACAGCCGTCTTCAGTCTAGGAGAGGAACAAACCATAATTGTTCCTATTTTCTTCCATCCAGTATATTTGAACACAGAAGAAATCGTTTTCCAGCTTCCTTCTGTGTTTTTTCTTTGTTTGTTTTTTGTGTGTTTGCTAACTGGAGCAGCTCATGCCATTTAAATTACTAGAGCCCTCTAAGTGAGCTGCTGTTGTTATGTTTGGGTGGGAAGAATGAGCTGGGACTGCAGGCGCGTGAAAACTAAGGTGGCCCTTGGGATGGACTGAAGAATACCACCTTACTGTGGGTGAAAGTGGTGTTTTAGCTGATGCAGCAATTTAGCAAGCTAATCAGCAGTGTTACATGCAAGGTTATAGAGGAGCAGGACAGGGAGAGGCAATGTTAAACGAGAAGAGGCTCAGGGGTGACATTATCACACTCTACAGCTCTCTGAAAGGAGGTTGTGGCAAGATGGAAGTTGCCCTTTTCTCCCAAGTAACTGTGATAGGACAAGAGGGAAGGGCTCTATGTTGTGCCAAGCAAAGCTTCAGGTTGGGTATTAGGAAATATTCCTTCTCTGAAAGAGTGGAGAGCTACTGTGATAGGCTGCCCAGGGAGGTGGTGGAGTCACCATCCCTGGAGATGCTCGAGAAGAGATGTGGCACTGAGGGATGTGGTTTAGTGGGGATGGGTTGGGGTTGGACTAGATGGTCTTTTCCAACCTTAATGATTCTGTGATTCTGTTCTGTGATTCCTCACTTAAAAAACCTGCTTCTTCCCTAAGCAGTCTTCTGCCAGATATGCTGTTTATAGAATCATAGCAACATAGATAGAAAATATCTCTAAGATCACCTAGTCCAACTGTCAGCCCATCCTCTCCATGCCCACTGACTGTGCCCCTCATTGCCACATCTACCCTTTATTGAACACCTCCAGGGATGCTGAATCCACGAAGAAGTGCCTACTGTCTCTGGAATTAGAGCATGCCATGTTTTTCTAACCCTGTAGACTGGCAGTAAGATTTCTTCAGACAGTAAAAGAGCAGTGATTCACTGGGAAAAATCCAGAATGGTTGTGGAGGCACACTGAAGGGGCAGAGGGTTTATAGAACCCTAAGGAAGATGGGCTAGCATACTTGGTTCTCTAGCCTGAAGTGAAGAGAGAAGGATGCTGTGCTTGGTTAAAACTGAGAGAAGAAGGGGAATGGAGCTGGAAGACCATCTTGGGCAGGTCTGTAGGCAGGAGGGAGCAGCCCCCAGATTTCAGCACACTGTTTGCAGGTGTGCCCCTTCCTAAATGCAGTGTCCAAAGCTTGCCATGGTGTTGCATTGGACTTACTACTCAATTTTTTAAAACCTCCCATCAGACATCTGCTCGGATGGATGATCACTGCTTCTTTCATTGATCTGAACAGATTAAAGTATTTGCACATAAGAATCGTTTAGCAACGAGCTTTAATTTAATTAGTCTATTAGATCAGAAATACTCTTTGAATTTCTGAGGAAGTTGCTTTTGATTGGAAGTTCATTAGCTGCTTTTGTCTGGCTTGTTCCCTGCTTAAATTAGTGTAGTAAATATACTTTGCCTGCTGGGGGAAAACCTTCATTTACAATTTACATGTTGACTCTCTCTTCAAAAGAACTGCTGTGTGGTTGGTTTTTTTTGTGGTGTTTTTTTCTTTTTTTTTTTCAGACATCCGAAAGAACAGCTAAACACTTGTCTCTGACATGGTTTCAATGGCATCGCTTTTGTAAAGAGCTTGTGAGAACTGCCACTTGTGCATATTTGGTGTCTAACTGAATTAGGACCTCCTACAAACACAAGGCTTTGAGAATCCCAGGGCTGGGGAGAGGCAATTCCAAAGGCCGTACTTAGCGTTTTGCCTCTTTGCTCTTGACCTTTCAATGTTGCTGCAGGGTAGATTTACAATTCCCTCATTTGGTATGCTGTGAATAAACCTGGGGGAAGGGATTTCAAGCAAGGGATTCACTCAAAGGCAGCACAAAAATGCCCAAGAACGAAAAGGGGCAATTGTAAAGTGTTATTTCTAAGTCTGATCTGCTGAGTTTCTTACATTGACATCATCCTGGTGTGAGAGTGTATTTCCTTCATTATATCTTCTCCCACTTTCACACTGGATTTGACCATGCACTGCTCTGCTGGGGAGGTTAATCCTTGCTCTTTGATTTGAGTATGATAGTTGAATCTTCCCAATTAACCTAGTAGTGAACTATTTAAAACCCACCACCCCATAACCACATTAAGCACGTGGAAGAAAACAGACCAAAAAAAAAAAAGCATTGTAAAGGAAATGGTCTAGCCCAGATATTCTCAATGTGAGCATGCAGATTCCTATGCTCAATTCTCCTTTTAAAGGTACTTTTTCCATAGCAGCAAAGTCTGGGGAGTGAGAAATGTGTTACAGAAGTGGAGCAACGTAAAGCTATAAGATCCTTAACATTTTAAAGGTAATCCACCCTACCTGGATCATAGAATGCCTTGGGTTGGAAGGGACCTGAAAGGTCATCTAGTTCCAACCCTCCTGCTGTGTGATGATCATTACAATTCTCTATATAGGGTTAACTTTCTGCTTTCGGAGTATTCAAGCTGGAAGTTCAGTAATGTTTGTAGCCAAGGATAATGCTTTGTTACTTTTTAAGAGAAAACAGAAGCTTAGCTTTTTTTAACGGTTAAATCTGTCAGTATCTATTGTTTGGTAGCTTGCAAATCCTTTCAGATAGTCAAGGGAACATTGAGCATTCAGGCATGTTGCTCATCTGCATGCAGCAAGCAGCTCTGCTGAAGTCAGTAGAGCAAAGTGATTATTTTTGCAGTACAACAGTGTCAAGTTCCTCAAATATTAAATACTTGCTTCACTGCCTCTCAGCTGTTCCGTCCCACTTCTCTGTCTTAATATCCTGGATTTAAATCTAGGGGCTAGCCTCAAGCTCATTACAAATAGCATTGTCCTCTAGTAGTAATTTAGCATTGTCCTCTAGTAGTAATTTAGCATTATTCTTTATGGAACCACGCAAGGGTATAAAATGAATCCAGCACATCATAAAACTTGCATAGGTAGAAACAGGTGAGAAGTAATATTAAGATTTTCACACCATTTGTTCAGTAATAATAATAATCTTTGTACACTTTTTGGTTGCTAGAATGGCCATAAAAATGCAAAGCACTTCGAAAAGCTATAGCCTTACAGAGGTTTTTTCTTATTTTGTTGGGAGTTTTTGGATAGAATTCTCTGCAAAGCCAGCTTGAATTAAATAATAAGTCCAGGATTCCAGAGTCTTAAAACTGTGTTTCAGCAACTGAGAATTAGGAAGCAATTTAGGTAAACTTAAAAATATGGCGTTTATTGAATGACATGGGGAATAATTTGATATAAATTACATTTCTGTCTTGAGTTGCAAGACTTATGTGAGGTGCAGCTCATAACTGGAGTAGTTGGATTCGATGAGGTAACTCAGGTGTGCCCCTTTTTTGTAGTTTGTGCTGCCATTGAAGATGGGAAGTACATTTGAAAGAGTCGGTCTCTGCCACACCAGATGATTTCAGAGGTGCCATTAGGAGAAGATGCAGTAACTGGAAATGCTCTGATCGTTTCAGCTGTACTAGGCAGCATTGTGTCATTAAAAGATGTGCTGAGCAGGTTATTCAAAGATCAGGATCAAAGGAGAAGGGATTTGTAGGAGGCTGTTGTCATAATGCTGGCATTGTGTCTTTTACTTAGGACATAACTGGATGTCACTTTGAGGGAATGCAGATTTCCCCAAGAGTTTGCAGTAGGGTAGCTTGGTTATGTGATTTCAGAATCCTTTCTCTTGAGAGCCTTCAAACTGGTGGTGGGTGATCCCTTTGAGTCTGCTTCTGTAGTAATTGCATCTTGTTTGTTTTCTTAGTCTTTGAGGCTTGTAACTGAGGATATGGGGCTCTTATGTCACGGACCCTTCTGGAGATGCATCCCCTCAAAACAGGCTGTGCTTGATGGCACCAAATAAGGGGACATTTAGAGTCAGTTTACTCTCAATCTTCTTATTTGCAGCACTTGCAAATCCTCTCTATTCAGTTCGTTTTAAATAGATGCTTATAAGCAAGGATTGTATCTCTGTAATCATACTACACCTAAATCTCGATGCTGTCGTGACACTGATTCAAATATTTGTCTGTCATTATTTTAATTCTTTTATTTTTAAGAACAGATGGCTGAATTAAATTGTATACCCACCATTTGAACTAAGCTGTGGTGGCGTTTAAGTTGCTGTTCCTCTCCTTGGGCAGAGAAGCATCAGGAATAAGGAAAACCTGAACTTGTATTTGAATATTCAGTGTTTTGGGGTTTGGAAACTTTGACATTTCAGGCATCCATGAGATGTGGAAGATTTTCCACTATTTTGATTTAAATTAGTAAAGCTTAACTCTTAATCTTGATTTGATTTCCAGTAAGCTAATGGGCTAGTAGAAAAAGAAAGCTTGTCAGCTTGTTTGGAACACCTGAAATGCATGCCTAACTTACTCTGCTTTTCCCTTGCAGGATGTTGTCTGGGGATTAAACTCTTTATTTACTGTAAGTAAATGAATCCTTTGCATATCCATGTTCTTTCTGTCTGCCTTGTGTGGTTTCAGCCTCACCTAATGTTGTCTCTTGAGGTCTTTATCCGTTTGGCCTCAGTAGGTGTTGTACAAATATAAAATCAGTTTGTGCTTTTGTTAACTGCAGGACACGTACAGATGATCTCTAATGATCGTGATTCTGTAGATTGTTTTTCCTTTTGGTTGCAATCTATCATGGGATACTTTGATAATGAGTTATATTATCTAAGGGACCTGCTGGTCAAATTGAAGGATAAGAAGGGAAAGCATAGGCAGAGGAAGTGGGGATGGGTGCCCTGGGAAGGAGATAGGAATGCCATCCAGATGTGCAGAGATGGGATCAGGAAAGCCAAGGCACAGCTGGAATTTAACTTTGTGAGCAATATGAAAAATAACAAGAAGATATGTTGGTCAGAAGAAAAAAGGCAAAGGAGAATGTACCCTCTCTGGTAAATAAGGAGAACTGGAATGAATAGGCATTGAAAAGACTGAGGTACTCAATGAGTTCTTTACCTTGATCTTCAGTGCTCCTCTCATTTCCCTGAACCTCTTGGTGGGGTTTTGGGAGGAGCAGAATTCCTCCCACTGTAAGAGGAGAGGAAGTCCAAGACTGCTTCATGAGGCTGAATGTCTACAAGTCTAGGGGCTAGACGACGTGCATTCTGAAGGAACTGGCTGATGGTTTTGCCAAGACATTCTCCAACACATTTGAAAAGTTGTCATGTGAAGTCCCTGGTGACTGGAAAAAGGGAAACATCACACTTATTCTGAAGAGAGAAAGGAAAATCCAGGGAATTACACAGGTCAGTGAGCCTCACCTCTGTACCTGGAAATATCATGGAGTAGATCCTTCTGGAAGCCACATTAGCACGCATGCAAGATGAGGAAGTGCTCTGAGACAGCCAGCACAGCTTCACCAAGGGCAAGTGGTACCTGACCAATCTGGTGGCCTTCTATGATGGACTGATGGCATTGGTGGACAAGGAAGGGCTACTGATGTGATCTTGCTGGACTTGTGCGAGGGCTTTGGTATGGTCTAAATTGGAGAAATGTGGATTTGAAGGCTGTTCTGTTTGGTAGATAAACAACCAGTTGGATTATTGCAGCCAGAAGGTTGTTGTCAATGGCTTTATGTCCAGGTATAGGCTGGTAAAGAGTGGTGTCTTTGAGGGGTCTGTCTTGGGTCTGGTGCTCATTGGCATCTTTATCAGTTATGTAGATAGTGAGATTGAGTGTACCCTCAGCAAGTTTGTGGACAACACCAAGCTGAGTGATGCAGTCAACACAATAAAAGGAAGGAATGCCAGCCACGGGGACCTGAATCAGCTTGAAAAGTGGGTCCATGCAAGCTGAATGATGTTCAACAAGGCCAGGTGCAAGGTGTTACACTTGGGTCACAGCAGTGCCAGACACGTGTACTGCCTAGAAGAGCTCATTGAGAGCAGCCCTGCAGAGAGGGACTTGTGGGTCCTGATGGACGAAAAGCTGGGTATGAACCAGCAGTGTCCATTTGCAGCCTAGAAGACTGACAGTATCCTGGGATGGCAGAGCAGTGAGTGTGTTCCACACCATCAGCAGGAGTCACGGTGCATTCCTAGAACCTCCCATGCAGACAGAGCTTGGGACTGGCTGCAGTCACCTCACTTTCACAGCTGCTAAAGGCTTCATTTGTTTAGATGGCTGTTTCAGTTGACTGATTTACAAGGTTGGAGAGCAAAGAGTAATTGTGTTTCAGTTAGTCTCCCACTGCATGTTAAGTAACCAGAAGGAAGTGCAATCCAATGGAGGTACAAAGAAGTCCCTTACACAACTGCACATAAAAATAATCTGTTGGGCAGACAGCAGCACTTGATGGTCATGCATCAGAGACCACAGGGATTTGTCATGTCCTGGAAGAGCCATGCTTTGCAGCTTGCTCTTGGATTTCCCTCCCACATTGCTTCTCCAAATCAGGCTTTGTATAGCTGGCCTTTTCAGAGGGAACTTTTGTTTCTGGAGGGAAATGTGTTTCTGTGGTCCATGCAGATTCTAATGGGGTTTTCTTGAAGAAAGTGAGTGAAGATCAATCTGAGAACAGCATAAGCCTTACACAGTGATGGTGTGTCACTGCCCTCAGAGGCCAGCCTTCAGCTGAGGAAAGTGGTCCAGTCTGCAGGCAGAGGAGGGTTTTTCTGTGATACAGCATTATTTGTGTGATGATTCATGTGTTACCTATAGCTTGGCTTTCTTTGCTCTTAACTCTGGACACTTTCACCTTCCAGAGTTATTCATTGAGATTAAACTGATGGAACTCAGATCTATTTTTGACTCTTTCTGCTCCTCGCCCTCTTGTGCCATTATCTCATGGGGTCTTTGCACTCCCTTTCCTTCTGGGTCATGTGTTTCCCATTGCATTAAGCATTCCTGTCTGTTGCTCCAATTTAGAGGGAATGAAATTGTGTTGCTCTTGTAGATGACATCAGGGAAATTCTCCCTGCTTTATCACCAGGCTGTGCGCAGCTCTAAACTTAATTATGATTCACAGTAAAATAAACCCTAATTAATGAAAATCATCAACAACTGTGCCTCCTGAAACTCCGAATGTTCCTTCAAAGCTTGTTTTAAAAGTGTCTCTCTTTTCAAACAGAAATGCATCACTGCCTGAGGAGTGTGTCGTAGGGGCTGTATGTGGCATGCAGTCAGATGAGATCGAGTGTCTTGCTGCTGTTGTCCTTTAACTGATGTTTGATTCAGTTTCAACTGTCCAACTTTGTTTACCTTTGGCAGGGATCTGTACAGAGGATGTGAGATTATAGAATCACAGAATGGCCTGGGTTGAATAGGACCACAATGTTCATCCAGTTCCAACCCCCTGCTATGTGCAGGGTCACCAACCAGCAGACCAGGCTGCCCAGAGCCACATCCAGCCTGGCCTTGAATGCCTGCAGGGATGGGGCATCTACAGCCTCCTTGGGCAACCTGTTCCAGTGCCTCACCACCCTCTGGGTGAAAAATTTCCTCCTAATATCTAACCTAAACCTCCCCTGCTAGTCTTGTTTGCTTTGCTTCTTTTTCGTGTTTATTAGCGCTGGGGAAAGTTTGGAGGAAACCCTGTAATGTTCTCTGGTTCTTTTCCAGGATCTTTTGAATTTTGACGATCCTTTGAATATTGAGGCTGCAGAACATCATTTGCGTGACAAGGTGAGTCAGTGGTTTATTTAAAGCATTTTGTTCCTTAACACACATTGTACTCTGTGATTCCCAGTCAGTCCTTTTATAGCATTTGAGCTGGTACTTAAGGCAGTAGAGTGACTCAGTCTATCAGCAACCAAATATTCAAACAAAAATAAGCTTGATCTGGGAAAGTAAACTCAGCACAGTAGTGGTATGCACCATATGCTCAAATTGTTGACCATAATGTAATCACATCCCCAGAATAGATGGTCTTTGGCTTTTTGTTTCTGAGATTTTCCCTGAAGCTGCATATGTTCTGTGGAGCAAACGATAGTGATTTTTTCTGGCACAGCTACATGAGCAGCCTTTCACTTAAAGGCCAGCAAAAAGATCCCGTCCCTCTCTATCTCTTTCAAAATGCTGCTTTTTTGTTCACAAGCCTTACATGTTGCATGCTTTTATTATTTATATTATAAGAAAATGGGGCACATTCAAAACCCAGGAGTGGAAACTTTGTTTAAAATACTCTTTATGATTTACTGATTAGTGGCCTGATGACAAGCTGTGAATGTGCACCTCTAAGCCGAGTGTGGTGATAGATAAGAACAGAAGTAGTAACTTCCCCCTTACCTGGATGTCCAAAGTTGCATCACCTTCCATTATATGGATGCATACCTTAAATGTATCAAATACTGACTTGGCATATTCAGGATTGCTTATTTTAATTAAACTCTTCTGATACTTTTGGCAAAGTTAACCTTCAGTACTGAACAAAATTTCCAGGTAAATGTTGGTTTGAGGAGTTTGTTGAAGATGCAGATTTGGGCAGTATATCTTATTTAGGTTGCACGTTCATCTTCCCAGCTATTATTTGTTTCAGTAAAACCTTGTAGCTAGTCTGGTATTCATCAGTATTTGCAGGGCTGGGATGAGACAGTTAGCCTAAAGTCAGTGAAAATTGGTAGAAAACTGATCTGGAAGTGGTTTTCATTCTAGTTTTGTTATATTGTCATGGCAAATAGTGCCAGGAAACCTTCCAAGCCATAAAATACCAAGTAGTTACAGACAGCCCGAGGAACAAAAGCAGTGTGGTGAGGTGGCAGGTCAAAGCATTTTCTTAGTTCGCACTGCTATACTGAATTATTCTCTAACATCTTGCCAGTAAGGTGTCTATGTGTGCTCTTTGGGAATGGTGAGGATGCTACATACCTGCTGCTGCATGTCAAACTCAGCACTTGTTTCTTCTAACTGGCAGAGGGGAGCAGTGGTGGAGTCTAGGTAGGTTTTGTAGGGAGTGATGCTCCCATAGCATGAGCACAGGTCTTCTAAGGTTTAGCAGTGCTGCAAGACATCAAACCAGCTAAAGAATGGCAAAATGAAGAAATCACTATCATGCATCTCCCAGCCTCATTCAGAAACTGGAAATCTAGGGAAGCTTAACAAGGGAAGAATGCTACCTGCTTTTAAAAACCCAGCTCCCTCAGAAAAGGAGTGTTGAGTGTTCAAAATGTGTCCTCCTGCCCTAGGAACATGGAAGCTTTATCAGATAGCAGTTATTGAGAAAAACGTTAAAGGGAAATTGAGGTTTTTTTGTCAGTCTTTAAAGCTAAAGAATGTTTTTGCACAGACTATTGTTGTGGGTTTTTTTTAACTTACTAAACTGTGGAGTAGACTCATCACAGTTATCCAGTTATGTGAAATTCATGTTCTACTGTGTTAACTTCTTTGGTGCTTTATGTAGATTTCGTCTTCGGTGAGTTTGACATATTCATTGCTGAGTTTTTGACAGGAAGTGTTGGATTATCCATTGTATGTCTTTCAAGCATCACGAAAACAAAACCAATAATGCCTGCCTAGGGTTTGCAAGGGGGAGAAATGACTGCTTTTACAGTTAGCCTCAAAAGGATGTGATTGCAGGGTGCATTTTTGTCTCCCTGGGGAATAGATGCCATGTAGCGTCTAAGCACTTCATTATAGAGTGAAACTGCTGTGGTTCTGTCCCTCTCTTAAGAAAATATTGCATTGCACAGTATGATTAATATGGGAATCTTACTGAATTTTCCCTAAGTTATTTTTATGTGCATAATACAATCATACAGATAACGTATATGTGATATGCATGCATGCTGTATATACACATAGCTATGCAGATACAACCATATACAAATAGTTCTGTCTACAAAGATCTGTGTATAGCAGATATCATAAGGAAATGCTTGTGGTCATTTGGCAGTGTGGGAGTATGTGGCTTGTAGAAGCCAAAACAAATGTACATTGAGTGGTCTTTTGTGGTTCTCCTGGGGGAGATGACTGTTTCACTGATGTCATTTCAAATTGCAAATCCTGAGATCCTTTCACAGACACTGAGGCTTAGTGTGGCTGCTTGGAAAGTTAACAGCTAATCTGAAGCCTGCCTCTGGTTATTTAAAACGTGGAGCTGGAGTTCGTTCAGTTCTCTAGGCTGATATTAAGTCATCAAAAATGCTTCTCTTCCTGCACATTCTCAAAGCTGTATTCGTAGTCACATCACAGATAATCAGATCTCTATTACTGATTCTCAGAGAACAGTCATACTGTGAATGTTTGCATTATAGATCAGGCTTCAAAGGACACTTAGGATCTCTCCCTGCATAAGGAACTTCTTAACTTTTTGCATTAGGTCCATGGCTTATACTAGAGTATATAGCTGTAGCTGTTGGGAAGGCAGTCTTGCTCTAAAAAATGATGCAAAATTCAGAGCTCGAGTTCTTCAACTAATTGCTGTGAAAAATCCTGTCATATTTGACACCTGTGTTGATACAGCTTCATCTTCCAGTCTTCAGGGTATCTGTCAGCTTGAGGAAGGAGCTGTCAGCTCCTACTCAGCCACTTCCCTGCTGATTCTTTCAGCCTCTGATCATCAGGTCACTTTTAAGTTAATTCTTTAAAATGCATACAATTGTTCATGCAGCTTTGGTAATTCTACACTTCCTTGCACATTTTGTAAGATCTCAGTAACTTTTTGGAAGTTGTACAACAAACCTGGCCAGTCATCAGTATCCATTTTCCTAAATGGTGCACTGAGCTAACCTCAGTATTCAGCCCTTTACTTTTCAGCTGCAGAAGTGATTTGGAGTCCTGTGTCACAAGTGATTGCTTACACTGACAGACCTTTTCATTGCTATAGGATGCTCTCTGCCATCTTGACTGAGCTAAGTAATTATTTCTGAGATAGGACCCCATTACTCGTCTCCTTTCAGGTGGTTTCATTGCCACTGCAGCCAGTTTGATAAGGCTTCCATTTTGCTAGCTATAAGTTTGTCTTATGGCTCATCATCAAGCGATGCTGGGTGCTCCCAAAGCTTAGTCACCCACATGGTTGCTTTTTTTTTTTTTCCCCCCCATTCCCCCTCCTTTCAGCTTGTGAGCACAGTTCCCTATTCTCTCGCAGTTCACGTCTGTGAATGCTGTCTTGCTAAGTAACCTCGTTGGTGTTGAAGGACTGCTGCTGGAATAGGTTGCCTAGTGATGTGGTTGATGCCCCATCCCTGGAGACTTTCAAGATGAGGCTGGATCAAGCCCTGAGCAACCTGACTCAGCTGTACGTATTCATTGCAGAGGAGTTGGACTATATGACCTTTAAAGGTCCCTTCCAACTCTAAGAATTCAATGATTCTACTGGTTCCTCCAAAGCCTTCTCCTTCCCAGTAAGTCCTGTTCCCTCAGCCTCCCCTTGGACCCAAACCCTTCCCAGCAGAGGTGTCCCCAGCCAGGGGCAGAGCATGTCCCACAGGCAGAGCCTTGCCTTTGGCCATTCTGAGCCTCGTGGGGCTGCTCTCAGCCCCTCCTGCAGCCCACAAACCTCCCTCTGGAGGCTGAATTTGTCCCCAGCACGTTGACTGCATCCACTTCAGTGACTGTATTTTTGTAGACCTGATCAAACTTCCACACGCAGCCACTGTTTTCAAACTTGGGTCTTCTTGAAAACACTGACTGTGGCATTTCTTTATTTCATAAAGCATTCAGTAGAATTTGTAGTTCCCCATCGCTCTTCTTTTTCCCCTCTGCTTTTGTTTAACTCTTAATTGTTTCCAGCTTGGGCAAAGTTTGCATTGTTCATTTTTTTGTGGAGCTGCTTTTTGGAACATTTGTGGTTTCCACATTACACTGCAGTTAGGTCATGATCACTGGAAGATAATCATCCCCTTTTGTTTTAGAGCTCAGTAAATCAGAATTAAAAGATGATTGATGTCATTATATAAACTAAGCAATGTTTTTCCCAGCATTTAATCTTCTCGTGCCAATAAAATCTCATCAGTTTGATAGTATGAGATTTCTTGTGGATTTTGAAGAACAATTTACTGGCTAACAAGCTGCTTTGAATTTAGCAGAGTAGTCAGTCCATGATGGATGTGGATGCCAGAGCCATTGATCGCTGGTAGAATCAGCTCCAGGGATTCCTAAACAGTGAGGAAGTGTTCATGTTTTGAGGATTTGCTGTTTTGTGTAGTGAACAAACAGAGCTGTATTGATTCACTTTCTTTCATAGCCAAACAAGCTGAATAGTAAAAGAATAGAGGTGCACCTTGTTGAATGAGCTTAGCAGTTCAGGACTCATGTATTCCTTAGCTGGAGGTGCTGTGGGCACTGCCTGCAGTTTGTTAGTTGAAATCTAGAAAATGCTTTCCACGTGTACCTCTCATGATTGTTTGCAGATCCAGTCTCAAGCCATTGCATTCACTGGGTTCCTCAAAAGTTTCCTGCCTTATATTTCCTCATAGTGTCAGCATTTGCCAAAACCATTTGAAAGCCATATGTGTGCTACCCAGCAAGAAAATTCATTACACTCCTCACGTGGCTTAGAGTATTTAGTATTTCTTCTAAATTCTGTTTAGCTTTCTTCAACTCCCATACCCTGAGTGCTAATGCTGTGTCCTATTTCCTGCTGAATTTGGTATAGTTTCAGTTGTCATCTTGCAAACTAACAAACACTCATTTGGTTTTTCTCCTGTGTGTTGGCTTTGAGTAGTTTGAAGGGAGAAGCTGCATAATATTACCACCCTGTGTTGTGTTAGTGCAGATGTGAGCACGGTGAGGCTGTGGGTGGTGCCTTTCAGCAGTGGCAGCAGTGACAGCAGACACCTCTGCTAGTGCAGATTTTGATGAGTCAAGGCATGCAGACTCCGTGCACAGCTAATACTTGTGATGATGTTGAAAGAGAGTGTTTTGTAGCTGAGATTTAACTCTGTCAAACAGTGTTGTTTTGCTCTTTGTATCAGTTGTAGCTTCCATGGAAATAAATAGGATGCACTACTTCTGGAGCAGCCTTTGTAGATGCAGCCTTAGACAATCCACGTTAACTCAGTGCGTCCCAGGGGAGCCAAGAAGTCAGACACCCATGGTTTGAAGGACTTTGTTTGACTCTTCCTTGAGAAGCAATGTCCGACAGGTAGGAGTGCAGCCTGCAGGCAGCCAGCAATTGCATCAGGAAGTCATCATTAATGCCACACATCGTGGCCCTCCCTTTGCTTGCCCCAGGCAGAAGGATCACACTTGTCACTGGAGGAAGGCTGCTGTCAGACTCGATGTAATTATTGCTGGTAACATCCAGGATGTGAAGAGGCCAGTATGCTGCTTCCAGCAGGCACTCCAGTCTGATCCCTACCTGCCTTGTTTTATTTCCTGGGAGCTTGTCAAGCTTTAAAGAACATGCAGCTGAATACCCCTACAGAAAAGTGGTCTTTTTGTCTTTTCTGTCTTTTTTTTTTCCCCAATCATATTCTGCTACTGCCAGTGAAGGGAGACTTAATTGTTCCCCTGCCTTTTCCATGGCTACATTGGTTGTGAGGCTTGAGCTGTTGTTTTGGTATTTAACGATGAAATATTTTGCATCTATTTGTGCAGGGGATTTTGGTTCTAGTCCAGGTTTTAGGAATCTTGGGTTTTCACTAGAGCTGCAGAATTTTGGCAGTTCTGTTGTCACTGGCTATTTCTAACCCATCTGTTTTTAGGCAACTTTATATGCTGGGATGACTGCATTCGTGGGTTGTGTTATAACTGCACGGGTGCTGTGCATTTGTAAGAATATTAATGAGAAAATACAAGGGAGCTGGAATGCCATGCTGTGGTTAAACTTGACTCTGGATGGTTCATGACATCCTGAGGCTGTCTTTAATAGATCATCCTGACAGTAGCAGTTCTTATTCCTGTCCAAATCACATTTTTCTGATTCTTCATAACAGTAATGCTAACACACTGGCAAAAATCCTCCAAAAGACACCAGGGACAGGATTGCCAGCCTCATCTCACCTGGGGTAACAGTATGTTTTCATGAATAAATAGACATAAATCACACAGACAGTGCTAGCAGCAGGGATGCTTGAGGCCAGGAGCTGTTGGGGCAGGTTTTTACTATCAGTTAATATCTGTTTCCCCCCCCCAGAAAAGAAAATACTATTTTGCTTTTGCATTTTGTTTTAATTAAAGGCTACTCTTGGTAATAAAAAGTTTTACTTTAGGATTGTTTCTGTGGAGATGGATTCATAGTGGTCATGTTTTTATGGAATCCGAAGCTGCCCATTAGGTTTCCTCTTAATTGCCCTACATAACCTCAGTCTTTAGGAAACTAAGCTTAAAAAATGTCCTCCTCCCAGTTGCGTGCTGTCTTTGGAGGCTGTTTTAATGAGTCTTCTGAGATGAATGTTTTCCTTGAATTGCTTGAGGAAAGTCTCATCCTCACAACTGTAATTCCATTAGAAATAGCATTAATAATTAAAACAGCAATAGATTACAAATCTCACTGGAGAGCTTTCTTAACTTCGTAACTGTATGCAGTTTTTTGAATTCTTAAGTAGCAAACAGTTCAGCACTTCTATAGAACAGTCGTAATGTCTCAAAGTCTTCCTTGGGCTACTGTGTGAGAACCAGGAGCACCTGAGATGTCCCTGAGGGGACATGGCTGTATATCCTGAGAATAGGAAAGTCATCAAAAGAGGAAGTAGTCAGCAAGGGGCCTGCCTGAAAATAATGGTGAAAAGGTAAGAAAACAAAGATAGATCCTAGAATATCTCTAGGCATCCCTTTGGAAATATAGTAAACTGAACTGGCTGTGTGCAGGGTCACCAACCAGCAGCCCAGGCTGCCCAGAGCCACATCCAGCCTGGCCTTGGATGCCTGCAGGGATGGGGCATCCACAGCCTCCTTGGACAACCTGTTCCAGTGCCTCACCACCTCTGTGTGAAAGTCTTTTCAGACTTCAGTTTATTTCCATTCATCTAATTTGATGTATCAGAAGACTAGACCATTAGAAATGTTATCTGATGCATCCAAATGAAAAGCATGATGTAAGTGTTGACTTTTACAGTACTTGCTTTGGAGACTAAGCAGCCAAGCAGTAACACAAAAATTAAAGCTTGAGAGCTTGGAAAACAAAATCATCAGCTCTTCCTCGTGTCTTCTGGTTCAAGTTAATTCACTTAGCTGATTCATAGAATCATCATTTAACTTCTCTATGTCTCTGTCACAGCTGTTCTTTTTTTAATGTACATTTTTATGTCAGAGGCATTTTGTGAGTGAGGCATCTGTCCATGCGGACTCTTGGTGCTCAATTTATGCTGTTAAAATGGTGATGGCTTTTTGGAGATCAGAGTTTCCATACTGACAGTAACCTGTCAGGATCTCTCCCACAACTCAAACAATGTTTTTCTGCTTTTGGATGAGATTTGCATGGAAAGCCCAGCCTGCTGGAGACGTAGTGAGGACGCAGAAATCTGTGCTTGAAAAGGGATTAGAATGCCATTGAGTATTGGATGACTTCTAGCATCACCAAAGTTTGGAAACGCAGTTTAAAACCATCATTTCAGGCTCAGGAGCTGCACTGACAAAGGGAGGAACTGAAGGATGACAGGTTTTGCCTCGCCTGGTGTTCTCAGCATCGTCCCCACTTTCCTGCTCTGTTGCTCATGTCAGAAATATGTGGTATGGGAATCAGAACCCAGGAGCACAGACAAAAAAAACCCCAAACATTAGAACAAGGTCAAGACAAGCATTCTATTTTCCAAATAATTAAGAATTATGTGAAACAACTCTTTTCCTTCGATGGTGTTTCTTGAAGGCTTTGAAAGCAGTTGAAACATTTTTATTTTGCAAAATATTCAAGACCATATGCATATGGCACAAGTGAAGCACCAGCTATACATCACACAAGTTATACCCTGATTGTATCCAAATGCTGTTTCTTAGCAGGTTGCTGTGGTTCTCAGCAGTACACTCCATAAGATTTTATTGGAAAACTGTTGGTTTTTTTTTTTCTAATGCCTTCCCCCAGTGTGTTTGTAGAAGGTAATGCTTATTCAGTTCACCAGTCTATGCCTTGTTCTCTGTGCCAGACTTGCAGGCCTTGCCAGCAGTTGCCCATCACAGCCATGCACTTTGTTGATCTTCTCCTGTGTCCCAAGTGTTTGACATGTTGTATGCAAGATGTGCTGATGATATTCGAAAAATTCTGATCATGAATTGTAATTTTTACAGTTAATGGCAGTCAAGTTGTAATTCATTAATTTTCATTTCTTAAGCTTAGTGATGGCTGAAGACAAATAGCTGGAAAATACGCCTTGGAACAGAGAAATTATTTGAAAACATTGCCTCGAAGTTCATTCTGGGCTTTCTTTAAAACATTCCTTGTTGTTAGGAGTGTGTTTGAGCAGGTGCTGGAGGAGAAGGCAGATGTGGGGTGGTTGTGCTGGGTGTTTGTATGAGCCTTTCTCAGCTCCACGTCTGGCTGCAGATGGATGTGGTGGGGAGATGGGATGCAGCGTGCCTTAGTGACTTGTGTTGTCACCTTAGTGACACAGTGCTGAGAAAAAGCCCTTGCTTTGGCTGTTTCTGAAGGCATACAGGAGTTTGACTGGTTTCTGTTTGACTGGTTTCTCTTACTGCTTCCCTGGGGCTTTGGGTGCACAGAGAGCAGAGGAGATGCTCCTTCCTCAGAGCTGGAGCTCTCCCAGAGCTGGCAGTGCTCTTCCCTGCAGCAGCAATGGGAAAAATTACCACGATGAGACAGATCTGACCAGACACCTGGGCTGCTCTTTCTGCTTGGTGTGGGAGGCTTTTCAGTCCCTACTACCAGATCTTGTTGAAAACCTTCTTGCTAAATTATCATTTATGTGTCTGTACGATAAGCTTGACAGTTCTGTTGGGTGGAAATGCTTTCCATTAAAACTGAAATGTTTTAGTTTGTGGTTTGGCTCCTGCTAACGAGACAGTTGTGTTTCTTGGTAACTCTTCTGTTCTGGGTTGTGCTCTCTGCTTTTTCATTTAATGATATTTCCTGCATGCACAGACCAAAGCAAAGCCCCCAGGTGTGGTGAGAACATCTGACTGGATGCCCGAGTTAGAAGAAAGCATTGCAGTGACCTTATGTCCAACCTGGAAGTCATCACCACAGCATCCATTTTTGCAAATTGAGGGCTCTGAGTGCACAATGTTACAAGTTATAGCTTCTGTTAGTGTACTGTGCAGGCTTTTTCCAAACTGTGGGTCTAAGTGGGGATTTAAAAGGTCAGTGTAGTTTTGTGATCTCCCACTGCAAGCTTTACACGCTTGCCTGTAGCAAGTCAGAGTACATTGGATCCATCTTTCCAGATAGCTGAGTGCCAGCATCTGTTCTGTAGCCCCACAGTGAAAATACCCAGCTGTTAGATGTGTTCTGTTCAGGAGGTTAAAAAGTGGGCACATTCTTGTACTGTTTTTCAAGTCTGTTCTCCAAATTCTGCCTGCTAGAGTAAGGGCATAGCAAACAAAAAGCTGCAGAAGTCTTTACAATAAACCCAGATTTCATCCATCAAGCCAGCTGAGTGGAGGCTATAGGTGACCAAAGCATGGTTTCATTCCCTCTAGAATATTGGGAAAACATCCTTATCAATTTATTAGCAGGGCAGAAGGATCAGATTAATGTTTGATATTGCTTCTAAGCTTGGAAAACAAGTAAGTTATGCTGTGCATCTCGATGTGCAAAGTGCTGGATGCCATCCAGTTCTCTTTCAATTTTAAAAGCATTGAGAACATTCAGAATCCAGGTTGAGTCTTTTAATTTTGTGTTGATCGTATAGCAGCAGTTTCAGAAAGCTAACTGTGAGCTAGCTGTCCTTCCTGTTTCAGCATGACTCATGACATTGTAGTAATTATTCTTACAAGACACGGAGATGTAATGCAGACAGAATACAGCCTACCTGACGTTCTTCTCTGTCTCCTGTATGTAAGATCAAAGTATGGAAGGGAAAGGGAAGCTCTTAGTGACATGCTGAGCTAATGCATGCTGGTGTGACCTTGCATCAGTGAATGGAGATAAGAACAAAACGTGTCTTAGCTGTTACTGGAAGGATGTAACAAGGGATCTAGCTCCAAGGTGATGATAGAATTACTGAATATCCCAAGATGGAAGGATCATCCAGTCCAGCTCCCTGTGGGTAATGGAGTTGCCTGGTACTTCTCTAATTGTGCAAGACTTACAAGATCTGGCACATCAGCTTATCAGCCTGTTTCCTGCTGAGTGCTTGTCAAATTTGTGACTGACAGCTCTATGCAGCTTGCTTGAATATCAACCTTCATGCAATTTATTTTGTAATTGATTGAGAGCGAATGAGTAGCTTCCTGTTCCAAAATGACTGGAGCTCCAGATGCAGGCACACCTGTCAGGCAGAGGCAGTGTGGGAGAAATTTTGTAGGGATACATGAAGAAATTGGGTCAATCAGCATTTTCCACGTTGCTTTGAGTACCTGCTGCTGGATATTCCTTGATGAAAGGTGGCGATTGCTTGCTCACACTTTGCAGCATCCTGAGCATGGGCCTCTGCCAGCACTTCTGGGTGGGCAGCAGACGGCTCACTTTGGCACTGTGAAGGGATATCTGACAGTATCTTTAGCTACAAACCCAAGTTTGCATGCAATTCAGTCAAGCACGCTGAATATTTGTTGAAATAGTCTGAAATTTCACTTGCTGATCTGCAGTGTGTGGAGTAAGAAAGTGGCAGATAAGCAATGCAAAAATTCTCCTGGCATCTCTTGTCAGCACTATGCCAGCACCAACCTGAAATCCTGTGTCAGGAGAGGAAAAGGAGGGCAGTGGATGGGTTACAGCTGCCAAGTGAGGTGTTGTCAGAGGGTGGCTGTTCCCTGTGGGATCCAGCCTTGTGTTGGCAGGCTTGGGCACAACCTGCAAACTCAAGCATATCATACTGTGCCAAATACGTTGTCAGCAGTGTGAATATTCAGTAACAAAATCTGTAAAGCCAGGATATTTTTGCCTTCTGGAGACTAGAAAGAGCTTTATTTCAATACTGTAGACATTCACCACGTAACGTGCAAACTTCTTTCTGTGTGATGGATCAGTCAGCAGAGCCTACAAGTCAGCTATCACATGTGAGCCTACAGCATGGTGTTGAGTGTATGGTGTGTTCATAACCCCTGTTCTTGTAGCTCTGCAGTCACATGGCTGGCTGTGACCATCAAAGTCACTACTTGTTAACATCAACTGCCCATCCAGCACCCATTAACCAAGGACCCTACTGGATTTCCTCATCAGAGAAGGCTAGCAGCTGCTGTAGGTAACAGGTTTTCTTGCATTGCTCTAGCACTAAAGCACTGCTCTAACACTGCTGGGGTATTAGCCTATCACCCAACTAAAAATAAGTCCTTTATAACTTCCAAAGTATTACGTTGCTTGTTGCAGAAAACAACAGCTGCTTCTGATTCTTTAATATC